ACGACGTTTCGGCCACAACACAAGCGGCCTTCATCAGGTGAAGGGAGCGAGACTGTCTGGTAGGACAGCGCTGGAGTGAGAGAGCCACGTTCAGATCACGGCTTTTAAGCTGTGTGAGAGGAACAAAGAGCCTTGACGAAGGAATTAGCATAAAATTTAGCATTGAAAAGGCTGAATGATTAGCTTGTGACTGGTCACAGAAATAGCTATGTTAAAAGTTAAAGCATACACATCCGCAGAGGCACCCATTGTTAAAAGGAATTAGCATAGAATTTAGCATTGAAATAGCTAAATTAAGGCATTCGCTTGTAACTGCTACAGAAATAGTTACGTTGAAGTCAGAGCATACACATTCACCGAGGTACTTAGTACAAATCAAAACAGGAGAATTTAGCATTGAAATAACTAGGCGAATTTAGCATTGAAATAACTGGGTGATTTGCTGGTGACTGGTCACAGAAATGACTAACACATCTGAGCTATTCACAGTACTATATAGTGAACCAATAAAAACTAAAATATAAATTACCTTCATGTTATCAATAAACTCTATATTCTCCAATCAGCTAAGCTACCAACCATAAGTCGTTATATATCACAATGCTATATGGCGAAAAAATGGGTGGATTCTTACCCTCAAATTTCCATACCACGGATAGCTACGGGCCCCGTTCAGACGGACGAGTTCGTCCATGGTCGGAACAGAGGAGGGGGAGAGAGACAGCTGCGAAGCCCTAGTATACTCCATGTTGTAAACCATACCATTAACCGTGGTGTGAGAGGTATTAAGAGGCAATGCTGGCGAAAGAGCTGCGGTCTGAAGGTCATCGTAAAATTACAATTAATTAAGAACAGAAATGATTTAACACATCTTTCCAGTGGTTACTAAGCCTGAATCCATCTTCTCGGTTGAAATTGTCTCTGTGCTTGTATATGTGAATGGCCTCATGAACGAATCTCTCATGGTAGCCAGTTGGTTTGCAAAGAACCTCTGTCTTGGCGAAGTCAATGTCATGTGAGCCCACTGAATTGTAACAGTGATCTGCCACGGCAGACGAGTTCGTCTTACCGTGTTTCAAGTCTGCTTTATGTTCGCGGATGCGGTCCGAGATATGTCTTTTGGTTTCTCCAATGTAGCTACTACCACAGAGGCACTTTAGTTTGTAAACACCCGGGTATTGTATGTCTGGAAGAGCATCTTTTACAGATGGAACTAAATCACGGATTTTGTGTACTGTGTTGAATCGGACCTGGATCTTGTGTTTATTCAGGATTTGTTGTGGCCGAAACGTCGTGAGAATATTATTGTGTTATTTTATTTTATCAATTTATTATTTTATTCTCATTCTACGTGACTTTACCGAAAGAACCAAAGAAGATGAATCATTGCAGTCACGAAAGCTTTAAATCGAAATTTAACCGCCTCTACGGGGAGGGATTCCACACATCCTTAAGATCATTCAACAGACTTCGGGATAAGAAGGCTCAACTAATCGAGTCTCTCACCTTTCTGAAGAGATGCCGCGACTCTAAGGTAATACCAACCGCATTTACACTAACCTCTGCTGTTGCAACTTCTCTCAATGCAAAACGAATTCTAGCTAGAACTAGCTTCGCTCTTATCTCGGAAAAAATCAGACTTACACGCACCGAACTCGATCAGTTAGACAAGACACTCTACAAATCACACTTAAAATTGACAGCAACAATGTCTACATCGGATTGGGAACATGTAGACAATATGACTACCTCTTCGGCTGCCACTATGTCGAACAAATGTAGGGACAATTTGATTTCCAAATTCAATCACCTCTCCAGCAAAAAATCGGATCCACACACCGAAAAGATAGACGTCAACAAAGTCGTAATTAATCGCAGTAACAGTTCCATTTCTGATGGTCTGAAATCCGTTTTAGCTAAAGGTCTAAACTTTGCTGTCACACCGAGACACTTACCGGTTAATGATATCATTGCCCATGTCGACGTTGCACTCAAGGGCTTGAGTCACATCTCTGCAGACGTAGCAAGATCTGAAATCGCTGCAACCCTCAAAAACGCTAAGTTGCCACCTAGCAACATCAGCAAAGACGAACGTTTTTAATTATCTCAATTAAAAAAGAGGGATGATATTGTCGTTCTCTCAGCCGACAAAGGCAATGCCACTGTCATCATGGACAAAACAGAATATAACAACAAAATTCAAGAACTACTCAACGATGGCAGCTATACAAAATAAAAAGAGATCCCACCAACAGCCTGGTCACCAAAACGAACAAAATTATCTCTGATTCAACAGCATTAATTGATGAGAACAAACAGTTCTTGTTGAAACCCTCTGCTGCCAGACCACCAAGATTATATGGCCTTCCAAAGATACACAAAGAAGATACACCCCTTCGTCCCATCGTCTCTACTATCAGCTCCCCCACCTACAAACTGGCACGTTTTCTGGCTGATATACTGCGACCTTTCACTGGAAAAACCACCTCTGCGGTACTAAATTCTACTCACCTGGTATCGACAATCAAAGACATTTCCCTGTCCCCAAACGACCTGCTTGTCAGTTTTGATGTGGTGTCCTTGTTCACCAAAGTCCCGGTACCTGACACCATCGCTATCATTGAAGACCTGGTTCATCAAGGACTGCATACTGATGTACCCCCCTGGTGAGACATTGCTTAACCAACACATACTTCACCTGGAATGGAACTTTCTACAAACAAACTGAGGGCACCCCAATGGGCTTCCCCCTATCTCCGGTTGTAGCCAACGTATTCATGGAAAAATTTGAAACTGACGCCATCCAGACTGCCACTCTACGCCCGACCTTATGGAAGAGGTACGTTGATGACACCTTTGTCATCTGGCCACATGGCCAGCCTGCTCTAGACCAATTCCGCGACCACATCAATTTCATACACCCAGCAATCAGATTTACCATGGAGGTCGAAAGAGATGGCAAACTACCCTTTCTGGATGTCCTAATTAAAAGGAGACATGATGGTTCAATGAGCCACTCTGTCTACAGGAAAGCTACCCATACAGATGCTTACTTGAAACCGGATTCCCACCACCATCCATCCCAGAAGAACTGCCTCATCAAGACTCTATACCATAGAGCCCAATGCATTTCCGACCAGGAACACATTACCAGTGAACTCAAGCACGTACACCAGGCTCTCAGGGCTAATGGCTACTCCGACTACACAATCCGCAAAGCCATCACTCCAGTCATGAAGAAGGATCCTCTTGTGGAGCCACTCAAAACCATCACCTTACCCTACATTGCAGGAGTCACTAAAAAGATCTCCAAAATCCTGAATAAACACAAGATCCAGGTCCGATTCAACACAGTACACAAAATCCGTGATTTAGTTCCATCTGTAAAAGATGTTCTTCCAGACATACAGTACCCGGGTGTTTACAAACTAAAGTGCCTCTGTGGTAGTAGCTACATTGGAGAAACCAAAAGACATATCTCGGACCGCATCCGCGAACATAAAGCAGACTTGAAACACGGTAAGACGAACTCCTCTGCCGTGGCAGATCACTGTTACAATTCAGTGGGCTCACATGACATTGACTTCGCCAAGACGGAGGTTCTTTGCAAACCAACTGGCTACCATGAGAGATTCGTTCATGAGGCCATTCACATATACAAGCACAGAGACAATTTCAACCGAGAAGATGGATTCAGGCTTAGTAACCACTGGAAAGATGTGTTAAATCATTTCTGTTCTTAATTAATTGTAATTTTACGATGACCTTCAGACCGCAGCTCTTTCGCCAGCATTGCCTCTTAATACCTCTCACACTACGGTTAATGGTATGGTTTACAACATGGAGTATACTAGGGCTTCGCAGCTGTCTCTCCCCCTCCTCTGTTCCGACCATGGACGAACTCGTCCGTCTGAACGGGGCCCGTAGCTATCCGTGGTACGGAAATTTGAGGGTAAGAATCCACCCATTTTTTCGCCATATAGCATTGTGATATATAACGACTTATGGTTGGTAGCTTAGCTGATTGGAGAATATAGAGTTTATTGATAACATGAAGGTAATTTATATTTTAGTTTTTATTGGTTCACTATATAGTACTGTGAATAGCTCAGATGTGTTAGTCATTTCTGTGACCAGTCACCAGCAAATCACCCAGTTATTTCAATGCTAAATTTGCCTAGTTATTTCAATGCTAAATTCTCCTGTTTTGATTTGTACTAAGTACCTCGGTGAATGTGTATGCTCTGACTTCAACGTAACTATTTCTGTAGCAGTTACAAGCGAATGCCTTAATTTAGCTATTTCAATGCTAAATTCTATGCTAATTCCTTTTAACAATGGGTGCCTCTGCGGATGTGTATGCTTTAACTTTTAACATAGCTATTTCTGTGACCAGTCACAAGCTAATCATTCAGCCTTTTCAATGCTAAATTTTATGCTAATTCCTTCGTCAAGGCTCTTTGTTCCTCTCACACAGCTTAAAAGCCGTGATCTGAACGTGGCTCTCTCACTCCAGCGCTGTCATTCTACGTGACTTTACCGAAAGAACCAAAGAAGATGAATCATTGCAGTCACGAAAGCTTTAAATCGAAATTCATCGTTGTCATTGTTGTGTGTGCATGCGTGCGTGCCCACATGTGTGTGTGTATTCCCTTTCCGATAAGCAAGCCAGTATCAGGAACTCAAGGTAGGTGAAAATAAAATAGATTTTTTCCTTCTATTTATGTTACTTGTACTTACTATACAGTATTTTTGTTAGTGTTACACGCAAATGTATATTTATTAAATAGTGCTTCCCTTTTTTGTTGAACCGCAACACTCATCGTATGTGCATGTAAATACAGCGCATTATGGCGTTCCTACTTACGAACCGTTCCATTTATGAACGGTTCTCAGAAACTAAATGTGTTCGTAATCCGAGGACTGCCCGCAATTTAGTATTCAAAAATCGGAATCGAGTAAATTTTCATACCAAAAAAAGAATCGATCCAAAAGATTGACGGAGTTAAATCTGCAATCGATTCTTCTGGAATTTCAGTTTCGGGGCCCTTTATCAGGCGACGCCCGCTGTGTGCTCTCTGTGCTCCTCTTTCCGTGCTTTGCCCTCCCGCGAGCCATGGCGAGCGACATGCTACTATACTGGGGCTCGGGCAGCCCGCCGTGCTGGCGCATCCAGCTGTGCCTGGAGGAGAAGGCGCTGCAGGGCTACCAGCAGAAGCTGCTCTCCTTCGAGAAGCAGGAGCACAAGAGTGCAGCTGTGACCGAGATCAACCCCAGGGGACAGGTGAAAGCTCACACACGCACGCATCGCGCACCACACTCGCACATAACACTGCAGCAGTATCAGCCTGGTAGCTTGAGAAGAACAGGTCGTGGTTTTTGATCCGTCTCGCACGCAATAACTCCGGTCACGTTCAACCACGCAATTCTGCAGGTGACAAAGACAAAAAGTCAGAAGTTTAAGAGACGCTCGGGAGCAATTGGTGTTTCGCAATCTTACCTGTAAAGGGCGACACGGCACGCGAGGGAGTGGGTGGCCAGCACTACGGCATGGCCGCCTTTGTCTCGCCCAGTGGCGATATTTACTCCTCGGGCAGGCCCAGGATCGTTTCGGTAATTCGTCACTTTTATTGGTCACTAGCTGTACTACCCGGCTTCGCCCAGGACTTGGATTCACCACACCCGTCCGCCTTTGTCTCCCCAGTAGCGATGTTCACACCACACTAGTTACTCGTTTGAGGCTGAGTCGATCTAGGGGAGGCCCAGAACCGGTTCAAATAATCGTCACTGGTGGTGGCCGTGAGGGGGAATCGAGCTCGGGTCGCCGGGTTCGTAGTGCAGCGCGCTAACCACTGCACTACCGCTCCAAAGACAAAGATCCCCCATATAGCTTTAACAGACTGTAGGGGCAAGTGCTGTTAGCGAGCACCTATGAAGGCCGGAACGGCACACGAGGGGGTGGGTGTCCAGCACCACGCCCGGCCGCCTTTGTCCCCCCAGTGGCGATGTTCATACAGCAGACCAGTTACTTGTTTGAGGCTGAGTCGACCTAGGGGAGGCCCAGTACCGGTTCAAATAATCGTCACCGGCGGTGGCCGTGAGCGGGAATCTAACTCGGGTCGCCGGGTTCGTAGCGCAGCGCGCGAATCGGTACACAGTCCCCCCCCCCCACAAACAGGATAAAGAAAAAATCCCCCGTGTAGCCTTAGAGGGAAAGTGCTGTTAGCGAGCACCTATGAAGGCCGGCACGGCACACGAGGGGGTGGGTGGCTAGCAGCACGCCCGGCCGCCTTTGTCGCCCAAGTGGCGATGTTGACACCACAGCAGTTACTGGTTTGAGGGTGAGTCGACCTACGGGAGGCCCAGGACCGGTTAAAATAATCGTCACCGGTGGTGGCCATGAGCGGGAATCGAACTCGGGTCGCCGGGTTCGTAGCGCAGTGCGATAACCGCAAAACTACAATGCGTTACGCTTCCACATGCGAGGGTCACCGACAGATTTGACGTCATAGCTCACTTGCCGTGCAAAAAAAATAGATGCATTATTGAGCTCCCCCCCCACCCAAAAAAAACAAAGTGTATTTTTATAATTTTTGCATGGTGTACAGTTTAGCAAATTTCAGGTTTGTTGCATGTCGGGAAGTACGCTAAATATTTTGAACAGACACACAATCACAAATTTCCCTTTTATATATGGAGATGAGCGGGAATCAAAATCCGGTCGCCGGATTTGTAGCGGAGTGCGATAACCACACAACACTACCTCACTGCAGGTCACAACACACCCACTCACCACGCACTCACCACCCACTCACCCCAATGCAGGTCCTAATGCACACACTACCTACCCCACTACAGGTCACAACACACTCATCACCCACTAACCCCACTCCAGGTCAAAACACACTCGCTCACCACCCACTCACCCCACTCCAGATCACAACACACCACCCACTCACCCCACTCCAGGTCACAACACACACACACCACCCACCCAACCCCACTGCAGGTCACAACACACTCGCCACCCACCCCACTGCAGGTCACAACACACCACCCACTCCACTGCAGGTCACAACACACTCACCACCCACTCTACTACAGGTCACAACACTCACCACCCACTCACCCCACTGCAGGTCATAACATACTTACTCACCACCCACTCACCCCACTGCAGATCACAACACATCACCCACCCCTCTGCAGGTCCTAACGCTTCTGGTTCTGCTTCTTCCCACGCACTGCTCCACTTTGGAATTCCCTCCTCCCGTTGTCAGCTCGTATAACTTTCCTCAATGAAAGAAGCGTGTTAACTCTTGAATACATAGTCTTACAATTGTGATAATGCCATGTGTTTCTGGCCGTTTCATTTTTTCAGTCTCTGGGTCTGTGCTCGACAACTGCGTTTAACATAACACATGCAATACACCCTACAAATGCAACACCTGGAATGCGGTCCCTCCTTAGGTCTAGATATATAAACAGTTGAATCTGGATAAGTACTGGGATGCGAGCCCAACCGGATATGACAAGTGGTGTAGGCAGTGCACAAACACATCCATTGTTGGATTGATTTTCTACGGTTCCCCTTCGCCAATTAGCACCGACTAGCTTAACACCCATGACCCGCACGGAATGGGGAGGCCCCGTGTAGCAGTGGATTTTCAAAAGAGATGTACATAGTACATACTACGTAGTACATACTACGTAGTACATAGTAGTACATACTACGTAGTACATCGCAGTACATAGTTGTATGTACATAGTACAATTCCTGCGGAGGTATTGGGGAGGCCTTTGGGCTTCAACTGTAACCTGTGAAGGTTAAGCTAAGGTACTTTTATGCAATTGTAAAATGTAAACTACGGTAAGAAATGAACAATAACTATCGGGATTTTTTTGTAGCTCAAAAGTAACGTAATATTTTTGCATGATCGCTTCATAGACCACGTCATCTGTGCATATTCCATCTTTGGTAACGATGCCTTCTGAGCCAGAATTTTGATGGCTTTTCTGGTTTCAATGCGTTATGCTTGCCACGTAATATTGGAAGCGACTCCGGTAAACATGGTAAAAGGGAGAAAGATTCAAATCTTCTGCTGTGTTTGTTCGTGCCTCTTGGCAGCTGTGCTTCCAAAAGAAGGATGAATTGGAAATAGTTTTTGTGTCATCGAGAATGGAAAGGTGTTTTCAGCTGAATGTAAATATAGAAATATGTTTTAAGAGCTTCTTGTAGTGAGATCCACTTGCAACCATGGGTCCGACGATGTGATTGTTCCTTGTCCAGATTACATAGCTTGTTCCATTGCAGTGTCCGTTGCTTGCATAAACATTCCGAAGGAGCATTTTGTAGGAGGCACCCTTCAGTTTGAGCAATTGAGGTGGAAATCCGTAAGGGTTGAGCTTTGTTTATGAATTCATTATCCATTCTATCTGAGCTTTTGTAGACTTTTTCACCAGGAAAACGGCTCATCATCATTGTATTGGTCAAATCAACAGCACTGTAGGACCAATGATGGCATGGTTTGTAAGGAATGTAGCATCTTTGTAGTAATCCTTAAGGCCATAGAATACAATCGCAGAGATCGCTGAGGTTCTAAGATAGAAGCAGGTAAATGCCGTTAAACTGAAAAATCTCCGTAAAGTTTGAAGAATGCTGGAATATTATGACATTGCTTTAATGTTAAGTTTTCGCTAATTGTATTATCATAAAACTGAAGGTAAGTGCTCCAGTCCCATACCCCCCTCCCCCCTAAAACGACACAATGCATCCATGGAAACTCCGTTGTAAATGAGATTGTCATTTTTCAGACTATATTTTTGCCATAGATGCAATATTAATGGGCGGCTATGTACCTGAACACGGTATAGAAGCCCAATTTTTCACAAAAAGGCGATAACATGGTAATATCTATCGCATTTACACTCGCTTCTGCTGCTGTCACCTCTTCTAATGCTAAACTGATCTTGTTTAAAGCCAGCCTTTCACTAATTTCAGAGAGAATAAGATTGCTCCGATTTGAACTTGATAATCTAGACAAGACTCTTACAATCATACCTAATATTAACAGATAAAATGTCCACTTCTGATTGGGACCATGTAGATAACATGACAGTCTCCTCTGCTAATTCAATGTCAACCAAATGTAAAGTTAACTTGATTGCTAAATTAATCCTCCTGTCAAAAAAGAAGCCTGCTCCACACGTTAAAAAGTTAGATGTTAACAAGATTGTCATCAATCAGAGTAATATCCCAATTTCTGACAGCCTAAAATCGGTACGAGCTAAAGGGTTGAATTTCGCAGTCACCCCTAAACATATCCCAGTGGATGATATAATCTCCCAGGTCGACGTAGCCCTCAAAGGCTTGGGACAGATCCCGACAGACATTGCTAGAGCTGAAATTGCCACCATCCTTAAAAATGCAAAAAAAAAAACATGAGTAACATTAGCAAAGACGAGCGCTCTGAACTTGCAACATTGAAAAAGAGGGATGACATAGTCATCCTCTCGGCCGACAAGGGCAATGCCACTGTCATCATGGATAAAACCACATACAACAACAAAATCCAGGACCTTAATGATGGCAGCTACACCAAAATCAACAAAGATCCTACTAACAACCTGACTACAAAAAACAACAATATCATTACCAGTTCGACTTCTCTAATCGAACCAGTCAAACGGCTCTCCCTAAAACCTTCTGCTGCTAGACCACCCAGATTCTATGGTCATCTTAGCGAGGGTCTTAAAACTCAAAGTTTATGACCTCATGATGCTTATTACGACCAACGAAGGCAGCGTCTTTGCATAGACAAGCAGTACCTTGCACACCATTGGGTGGCAAAAAGTTGTCTTCTTCATGCTCACAAATCCCTATGGATGAGGGAAACAATTCATGCAAGTCACATTGACACATTTATCAGTGCTGAGCTACCTCACCCCCATCAAGACCCTGCCCTTTTCCTATGTGGTCTGCAACCAAATGGTCCATGGTCCATGTGGCCAGTTCTATCTAAGAGGTATCCATGCAACTACTTGAAACACACTCAGTCGACCCATGATGCCTATAGTTTATATCGTCACAGAACTACTTAACATGATGGATTTCAAATTACACTCAGACCTGCCACTAACTCGCTAATTAAGGTTCACAACCAGTGGATCGTTCCCTACTTCCCTCTCCTGTGCAAGATCTTCCAGGCCCACTTTCATGTGAAATTCTGCTATTCTCAAAAAAGCCATCAAATATCTTTGCCAATACATCAACAAAGGCTCTGACATGCCTGTCTTTGACTTACAAAACAGAGGGACAAAGTGTGCATGAGCTCAAACTTTTTTTCTAAGGAACATACATTAGAAACAATGGGGCCATTTTCTGAATTCTTGCCTTCTCCATCCATGACCGTTCCCCCACAGTCATCCATTTGGCACTTCACCTCCAAAATTATCAACGCATCTACGTCACTAAAGGAAATGCCCAACAACAGACCCTGACTCAACCCTTATGGCGTTCTTTGTTTTCTGCCCAAGTGATCCATTTGCTGCCAACCTGCTCTACCATTAAGTTCCCTCCTACTATACATGGACTGCTAAAAAACATTTGAAGCGAGGTGCTGCTGACGGTGAATCGGGATGCCTTAGGACGAGTCTACACAGTTTATCCCAACAATCAGCAGTGCTACTTTCCCCCAATGCTTTTCCATGTTGCCAAAGGGCACATCTTTCCAAGACCTCTAAACAGTGGAAGGAGTTCTGTCAAACATACAGGGAAGCTTGCAATCTTCGTGCACTTCCTGCGCATAATCACCATCTTCATAAAACTATGACAGAAGCTTATGTTGGTCAGTCCCCTTTCCAACTGACATTGCTCTTCTGCATACATCTTCAAGTTTGCAGCCCATCTAACCCCATGAGACTCTGGCAAAAATATAAACAGGGCATGAGTGAGGACATCCTCCACGGAGCTCATTGGCAAAATACAAACCTCGACGTCAATTTTCTGATGTCATCTTCAAACAGGCCCTCATCCTTCTTCAGGACAAACTGCACTCCATTAGTGGAAAATACCTCACGTCTATGGGACTACCAACGCCCTACAGAGACAACCTGTATGCCCTCGCTAAAGAGATCCTCCGTCAAATATGCTATTATGCTTTACAGCTTCTTAAATTTAAATTTTGATTTAAAGCTTTTGTGACTGCAGTAATTCATATTCTTAGCTCTTTCGGTAAAGTCACGTTGAAGGGAAACAATAAAATAATAAAATATATATAAAGCAATAAAAATTATCACGACGTTTCGACCATAACACAAACGGTCGTCATCAGGTGTGTCGGTTTGCATAAATTTATTTATTTTTAAACGGTGTATTTATTTATTTTTAAAAACCCGTCAGCGCCACGCGCAGCGATTTGGCAGTTTATTTAGAAGGACGAGTCCATCTATGTTCTGAAAAGAGGAGGGGGGAGACGAAAAATTAAAGTATGCTGTCTGAAAGCCACTGTAAGCGTGAACAATCAATTAAGACCTGAAATGGTTTATCAAATCTTTCCAATGATTGCTAAGCCAGAATCCATCTTCTCGGTTGAAATTGTCTCTGTGTTTGTATATGTGGATAGCCTCATGAACGAATCTCTCATGGTAGCCAGATGGCTTACAAAGAACCTTTGTCCGGGAAAAGTCAATGTCATGTGAGCCTACTGAATTATAACTATGATCTACCACGGCCGAGGTGTTGGTCCTACCGTGTTCAAGGTCTGCTTTGTGTTCACGAATGCGGTCCGAGACATGGCGTTTGGTTTCTCCAATGTAACTACTACCACAGAGGCAACTTAGTTTGTAGACACCAGGGTACTGTGTGTCCGGAATCACATCTTTTACAGACGGAACCAGATCACGGATTTTATGTAATGTGTTGAAACGGACCTGGATCTTGTGTTTATTCAAGATTTTGGAGATCTTTTTTGTGATCCCCACAATGTAGGGTAAAGTGATGGTTTTGAAAGGCTCCTCAAGAGGGTCCTTCTTCATGGTTTGAGTGATAGCTTTGCGGATTGTATAGTCGGAGTAACCATTAGCCTTAAGAGCTTGGTGTAAGTGCTTGAGTTCACTGCCTATGTGTTCCTGGTCGGATATGCATTGGGCTCTATGATACATCAGATTTACCATGGAAGTCGAAAAAGATGGCAAGCTACCTTTTTTGGATGTCCTAATTAAAAAGAGACCTGATGGTTCAATGAGCCACTCTGTCTACAGGAAAGCTACCCATACGGATGCTTATCTGAAACCGGATTCCCACCACCATCCATCACAGAAGAATTCTCTCATCAAGACTGTATTTTGCATGGCAAGTGAGCTGTGACGTCACATTTATCATGTGACCCGTATGCAGAAGCGTCACGCAGTGTGCCTGCTCATGTCACGCACCCCCCAACCCTCCGCGGGTACAGTGCCATACAAATGTGTTGCAGGTCTAAGGCGTTCTTCGCGCAGCATTGCTTTATAATTTCAGTCGATTACTGCCGTACGTACCCTGAAAGTTGTGTGTGTCTGCTGCAAGCGCGTGTATGTTTACCTATGGACGCGCGTGCGTTTGTGTGGCAGTAGTGTAGCGGTTCGCGCGCTGCGCTACGAACCCGGTGACCCGAGTTCAATTCCTGCTCACGGCCACCACCGGTGACGATTATTTGAACAAGTCCTAGGCCTCCCCTAGGTCGACTCAGCCTCAAACGAGTAACTCGTGTGGTGTGAACATCGCCACTGGGGAGACAAAGGCGGCCGGGCATCGTGAATCCAAGTCCCGGGCGAAGCCGGGTAGTAAAGCTAGTAGTGCATATAATAGTAATCCGTACGATAAACATTTCATCAATTAAAATAATTTATAATAACATGAGTAAATATGTACTCACGAGTGCATTCGACTGTACTCCTATAAGGCATTGGTTGGAGCTGCTGCACTCTCAACCTGGGTCTTAGTGACTCCCTCAGTCAATTTTTGTGGTGAGGTTTATTTGGGGTGACGCATGAAACTCACCTGGCTAAACGCACTGTAATAATAACATTAATTTAAAAAAATGGACCATAGTCGAGGTTTTTTGGGTTAGATTTCATAAATATAAATGTCGTTAAACTCGCCACCACCGGACACAGCCAATTAGTAAGGTTTATCACGTAAACAAGATGTGCCAATTGTTTACTAGTTCAGCACCATTGTGTTGGAAAGTAAACCCACAACATTTACAATTCGAGTGAATTGTAAATGTACACTTATATTTATGCAATATAATCCAAAAAACCTCAGATAATATTGGTCGTGAAAGCCTATGTGCTAAAAATATAAAATTCGGTTTGCTTTTTATAATGGAATCGTAGCCACGAATCGTGATAATCGAATCACGGGGAGTGGTGGGGTCTGGTTGGCTCAGAGCCATGCTTCGCTCTCTGGCTGAGCGAATGATGGGGGCGACTATGTTTGGGGCCATCCATTTAGTACGTATGTATGGAGGGGGGAGGGGAGGTTAACCCAAATGCATACGCTTTTGTATGGGGGGTCTACTGACAATGTACGTACTCGTAGGAAATGAGGGGGGGTTAAGTCTCGATAATAATTTGTCTACATTGGCCTTCAAATTAGTTAGATAGTCCGGCGTTGGACTATCTGTTTGCTTAAACACGTTACTATTTGCATACGCTTTTTGGCGTCCTCTGGTCTAACACCGTTTGAGACGAGGCTCAAAGGAAAGCTGTCTGGTTTGGACCAATCAGTTTCAAGGACAATGCATATATTAGCCTTGTAATAGGTTTCAGTTTTGTGGTTTAACATCATAACACCTGTTTTGTTGCCAGAAAAATGGGGAAAAGCCTATTATCACATGTTACTATTTTACTATTATTCATCCTTGATCGTTTCTACGTGGATTAAATATTGGCCGTTCTATAGGATTCAGGGGGGGGTGCGTCAATTATACGTACGCAGGTGGGGCGGGGTGTAAAAATAATGCATGCCTTCTTGGAGGGGGAAGAGGTCAAGTTTTGACAGATTTTTGCATACGTACTAAATGGATGGCCCCTTTCCTCAGCCGGCGTTTCTGCGTGTTATCACTCGTAAGCACTCTGTCGGTGTTTTATTTCATTTTTTGCAAAAAAAAGTTTCTGCAGGACGAAAGAGCATTATCATTAATCAGCTTGCTATGGGGTTGCGCTAAGCGAGGTCTGCCTGTTCTTAAAATATGTGTATGGATTCTTGGAACATGAGGTTATAGTTTGAATAATGGGAATTCTTCATAGATTTGTTCATTGCTTGAGTTTATTAATACTGTGATTTCTTGAGTGGGTTCACTTAGCTGATCAATCTTGTCCCCCCGCAGCTTCCCTCCTTCCGTCACGGTGACAACATTATCAACGAATCCTTAGGGGCGTGCTTCTACCTGGAGGTGAGTCATGATACAAGAACGTAAGCCTCAATGTGTGCACTTTCAAGTAATAGCAAAGGGTTACATAATGCAACATTTCAAAGTAATGTGGATTGAGGCTCTTGATGAAAATGTTAAATACCCATAACATGTTACGTAATTTTGTTTATGTTGTGCATGCTATAACATATGCTGTAAAATTACACTCTCAAAATGATTCTGCTCTATTGAAAATGTCTTAGATGAATTGTGTGTTTTAAAAATATTTTCATAAGTTTTGTTTGGAATCCATACTCTTTGGTTATTTCGGTAAAGTCACGTAAGTATAAAATAAAATAAATCACGACGTTTCAATCGCAACACAAGCGGTCGTCCTCAGGCGGAAAAAAATATAATCCAGCAGTGGAACTGCTGAACTAGCGAGAGAGCAGCTACAACAAGGTTATACATGTGGCGATTGGCAAGCCCACATTTGGGGTAGAATTCCTTTCCAGCTCAGACCCCTCTTGCTTGCCCATCGCCACATATATAGCCTTGTTGTAGCTGCTCTCTCGCTAGTTCAGCAGTTCCACTGCTGGATTATATTTTTTCCGCCTGAGGGCGACCACTTGTGTTGCGATCAAAACGCCGTGATTTATTGTATTTTATGCCTACGTGACTTTACCGAAAGAACCAAAGAGTATTGATTCCTTCAGTCACGAAAGCTTCAAATCAAGATTTGTTTGGAATGCTAAGAAATTTGTAAAAAAAAAGCGTTTATATTTAGAGATGAAAAATATTGTGAATTAAAAGATTGGACCAAGTAACAAGATAACTCAGGCCATAACCTCTCTTATAGTTATTTTAATAAAGTCCAGAACCATGAGAAAAGTTTTAATAAGATGGGAGATGCTAAAAGTAAATCAAGAGGAATAAAAATTGAGAAGGTGGCTCAAACTCCTCAGAGGGAATATTGACAAAACAATGGAAAAAGGGATTGAAGCATCGCTCGTGAAAAGTTTGTTTGAAGTACAGGCGTGTCTCGCTTATGGTTGGCTATGTGTGGGTGTGAGGAGCAGTATCCAGCAAAAACAACCCCCTTCCTCGATGGTGCCGGACGGTAACGCTGTGATGGCTGTGAGGACAGCAATGGCGAGGGCCAATTCCAATCAACTGTTCCCTTCATAGTGGGGATGAAATTAGTGAGGTTGGAGTGCCTCAAATATTGGAAGAAGTAAGCACCCCTTGTGAGTGGCTGACTGAAGTGCCCTCTATTGAAGAAGTACGGAAGGCGATCCAGAGTCTTGAGACCAGGCGTTTATGTGCAGACTGCCCTATATGACATCATCACAGCTTTCTGGACCACTGGACGGGTTCCGCAGATTTGGAAGGATGCCCTGGTGGTCCCCCTCTTTACGAAGGGAGACCGCACAGATTGTTGTAACTACAGGGGCACCTCCCTCAGTGTGTCGAAAAAGGTCATGGCAAGGATTATTCAACATCGCTTTGCCAGGCACTCAGAGGAGAGCCTTGCAGAGCCACAATGTGGTTTCAGGCTAGGGTAATCCTGCACGGATGACATATTTGCTGTTTGTCTGCTTTAGAAGAGGTGTGGGGAATTCCAACAGGACCTACATCTCTGCTTTATTGGCCTGGTCAAGGCCTATGATACCATCAGTAGGCCTGGGATCTGGGTTGTTCTTTGTACTTTTGGAGTCCCGGATTTTCTGCTCAGGTAAAGCTATGTGTTTAGGAGTCAGAGCCATTCCCTGTTCACCTTGGTACCGACAGGGATGTCCTGTGGCGCCTACATTACTTAACATAATTTTCGGTCATGTAATTCGAGAAGCCTTCCATTGCTGTACCGGAGGAACCGCCATCAGGTACAGATACAATTGGAGGCAGATGGATGCCCAGGTGCAGTTGAGGGATGGCTCCTAATTGGTCAACCATGTTATGTATGCTAATGATCTGGTGATTGCTGCTCACTCGGAGAACGAGTTGGAGGCTCTGCTGCTTGACCTGGTGCATGCTACTAAAAGGTGGGGCCTTGCCATCAGCCCCACTAAAACTAAGCATGTGCCTGGGTATTTCGTATCATCAAAAATGTTGCCACTCAACTCTCAATTGGTGATGGGGTAGTTGTGGAGAGAGTGGAGAGGTTTCCATACCCTGGCAGTGTGCTTATGACCAGCTCCGGTTAGACGGCAGAGGTCTTACTCTTCATCAGTCAAAAGGTATCATAATTTCATCAGCTGTGGAAGCTACCCGGTCTGTCGCTCCGCACGAAGATTTGGGTCTTCATGGCCATGGTCATGCTCTCCCTTATCTATGCTTAGGAAACGTGCACCCCCCCTAATGGAATATCATCACTGGTTAGATACGTTCAGACTGGCCTGTCTACGGTCCATCCTGGGTTTAACCAGGCTGGATTGTTTGAGAGCTCACAAATCCCTTGAAAGATCTGGACAAAGTCCCATTGGTGAGCTCCTCCAGCAAGCAAGGCTGCGTTGGCTGGGTCATATAGCCTGCATGCCCAGCCACGACATGTACAAAGAGTTTTTATTCAACTGGATAAAGGGGGCTAAATGGGCGTGGCACGGGCAAGATAAGAGATGGAATGATGTGGTACGAGAGAATATGGAGTTGAGTGGACTATCCAATGACCGGTACAAGCAGTGCTAAGGTCGGCCTCTGTGGAGAAGGCTCGTGAACGATGCCACCAGGTAGTTGGAGGTAATCACCCTCCAACAACAGCGGAGGGCATAGGAGTGACTCTCACAACAATGAGCAGAGCGCTGGATGGCTAAAACACAGCAAGTTGTCACAGTAGGGGACACAGATGGTGCATCTGCCGGTCATCTCAGTCAGTCAACCCATGGTACCTGGGTCTGTTCCGTGACCTGCCAGCGAGCATTTGACACTTCACATGGCCTTAAAGTGCACATAACCTGGCACAAGGGCCGTGGTGACATCATGACCACTTAGTGGCGAATGGTTGTTGTTGTGGGGAGCAGAGCTACGAACCTGGCGACCCGAGTTCAATTCCTGCTCACGGTCAACACCAGTGAGGATTATCTGAACCGGTCCTGGGCTTCCCCGAGGCAGACTCACTCAAATGAGTGAGTACCTGGTGCAGTATGTAAACATAACCACTGGGGAGACAAGGGCGGCCGGGCCATGGTGCTGGCCACTCACCCCCTCGTGTGCCGTGCCAGACTTCATAGGTGCTCGCTAACAGCACTTATCCCAACAGTCTGTAAAGGCTATATGGGGGATCTTGCATTGTGGTGCTTCATGTGTGATAAGTGTTAAATTTGATGTTTTATTACTTTATTTTAAAATGATACAATAATTGGTATTTCTCACATGATAAAAGTTGCTCAAGAGTGGAACATTTTGGGGCTGAAATGTAGCTCATCTTTAAACGTGACAGGCAGTCAATGGGAAAACAATGATCATTTAACGAGTTTTCGCTTACCGAGCAATTTGCGTGGAATACATCGTGCTCGATAAGCGAGACGACACGCCTGTATAGCACAATATGCATCTCACTGATGGGGCCCATCTCATGAGTTGAAAGTAATTTGAAACATGATACAGCTGTGAGCTCCCAGTGGCAAAAAGTTTCCTTAGAACACAATTCTCTTCAATTCATGAGCCAACTGTTGTGCTATCCCTGTTATCCTGTGCACGAGGCCTGGGTCAGGCTGTCCATTCCAGCGAAGTGCTTTCCCATTCAATCGTACAATGCAGCCTTGTTCATCTCCAGTTCATTGGCCTGAGCTTGTGGTAGAATTACATTCTTATGGGGTCTATAGTACAGTCACTGTTGACTTCACACTAAATGGTATGTATATTATCAACCCCAGGGGGCTGAAAAGCTGAAGAGACTCTTAATTGTTTTGAGCCTCTTATCTTAATCATTGTGCCGCTTGGTCATTATTTATTTAAAGTCAACTTGAAGATAACAACGTTCGTGTTTTAGTCAAAATGTCTATGGACGGAATTGGTGTCAAACAAGGTGGAAATAATACCTATGGTTATTTTTTGTTGCAATTCACATACTTTGTTTGTCTGTGCAGAATCAGTTCAAGGCACAGGGCACAAAACTGATGCCAGATGGAGCAGCAGAGCAGGCCTTGGTTCTGCAGCGCACATTTGAGGTTCTCACCTTGCAACAGAAATCTGGTGATGATCACATTGCACACATTTGAAACTCGCGTATAAACCTAGTGGCCCGCACATTACGGAAGCATGACTAGGGCGTTCCATTTTGTATGATGCACTGTGGACACAATGTACCACACACTGTCGTGCAGGGGAAAATAACGTTGCTTGGGTGGCATATATTCAGTGGAGTGACACGTGTCCTAGAAAATGTATTTAAATCCCCCTATCACCAGTGCTGTAATATAATATGTTCTCGCATTATATGAATTTTCTCAAAATCCTTATAGTTGCTTGTTCTAGCACTGTGAGACAGATAGAGAGGTGACACTCCAATGTTGTTATCACTTTCTCTACATCTGTCTCTTCTTACTCAGTATCTGCATGTCTGCTCTTTCTGCCTCTGTCTGCCCTTGGTGTTCTCTAAAGCTTCTCTGTGTGTACACTTCTTTTTCCCGCACCTCTCTTCTCTGTCTCTTATGCCTTCACCATTTAAGCAATTATTAATGCATGGAGCCCTGGATTCACCAGCAGGGCTTGTGGATTTCCAGGTATAAATTGGGACAACACTTAAGTTGCATCATTCGGCCTAAAAAAAACATACATTTTGCATACTCTTTAAATTGGACATTCCTAACTCTGCATATGCACATTATGCAAAGTAAGAAAAACCCATTACATACCATGCCAGTCCAAGACTGGTAGATCAGAATCAAAGCCTCTCTAACCCTTTTGGTAGATCTGTCCAATATGTGAATATAGCTTGCATCCATCTGCAGTTATAAGCTCAATTCATGTTGTTACAGATGTTTTTGGATTAATTGCGCCAAATAAAATGCTTTTACAGGTTTATTGAAGAGAGTTTATGCCACAGTGGGAACGTTTGGCAAAAGTGAATTGCATCTGCTCGGCATTATAGAGCATGTATAATATGAACAGCAAGGTCATTGCAGACAGATGTAAAACCAATTGATAAGGAACAGAGATAGTGGGTGACTTTCAGTATCTAGAATTGATTTTGTAAAGGAAACAGGAGAGGAAGCTAAAATGAAATCAGAAAATCCTACTTTAGTTCAATATGACATTTAATAATCTAGATCTGAAGTTTTCGTGACTGCAGGGATCCATACTCTTTGGTTCTTTCGGTAAAGTCACGTAGGTATAAAATAAAATACGACGTTTCAGATGCAACACAAGCGTCCGTCATCAGGTGGGACAACCAAAGCAAGAAACAATTGCTGAAGTGGGCAAAAGGGCTGCTGCAACAACAGGCCATATAGGTAAGAGAAGGGGGGAGGAGCCAGGGAGGAGAGACAGGGAGGGTGGGGTTGTGGGGTAGGGGGAGTGGAGGCGACAAGTTAAGACAAGAACGGCAAAAAATGCCGGGGAGGGGAAGTGGGCGGGGCTGGGAGTGGGAGGGTTAGGAGCCCCGCCCACTTCCCCTCCCCACCCCGGCTGGGAGTGGGAGGGTTAGGAGCCCCGCCCACTTCCCCTTCCCACCCCCGCATTTTTTGCCGTGCTTGTCTTAACTTGTTGCCTCCACTCCCCCTACCCCACACCCCCACTCTCCCTGTCTCTCCTCCCTGGCTCCTCCCCCTTCTCTTGCCCTTTTGCCCACTTCAGCAATTGTTTCTTGCTGTGGTTGTCCCACCTGATGACGGACGCTTGTGTTGCACCTGAAACGTCGTTATTTCCTTTAGTTTATTTTATACCTACGTGACTTTACCGAAAGAACCAAAGAGTATTTAATAATAAGTGATATGCACTTTTTTAACAAGTGGGGTTTCCTGGTGGTCTGATGGCTGGGATAACTGAGGGGAAATGAGCAGGCAGATGATGCAAATGTGTTCCCATTTGAGATGTTATATAAAAATAAATGCCAAAAAAATGTGGAACCTGTTATGCCATAGAATTGTAATTGTGATTGATTTTTATTAAGCACCACTAACATGTGCATTGCATCATATATGTCAAGGCAGAGGAATCAAGCTCTAAAATCATCCTTACGCAGTTTAAAATTCTATCTCCTTCAAGAGACGTCCTAAATAGACATTACCTCAATTGAGTTTTACCTGGGTATAAATAAACGTTACATATATTTTGATTGACTACGTGTGGTGCCTTTGCTATGACTGTATTTGTAGGAATTGGTTTTATTCGAGGATTGGTTGTTTTTAAAGGTATCTACTGTTGTGTTTTAGTTCTGCATTGCACATTTTGTAAAACTTTTGCCTTTATCTTCATTCAGGGGATGTCATCTACTACAACTGGCGCATTCCAGTGGAGGAACGGCACAACTCTGCTCTGAAACGAAACACGGAGGCATTGGCAAAGGAGCTGTTGCTATGGGAGGGGTATCTTGCCAAGGTGTGCTACAGAAATGATCAGCATTGATATGTGTGAATTTACACATCTTCTTTCAAGTTGGTTGTACATATTAAATGTGTATTACTAATTCAAGTTATCATCATTATTACGATCCATGGGCAGATAGCCTGAAGGTCTCTCATGAACGTTTTATCAATCTTGATTTGAAGCTTTCGTGACTGCAGGAATCCAAACTCTTTTGTTCTTTCGGTAAAGTCACGTAGGTAGAAAACATAGATCACCAGGTTTCGATCGCAACAACAAGCGGTCGTCTTAAGGTGAGAGAATCAGACTGCTGTGGATGAGGCATTATATTGACCCAAGAGGGGGGGAGGGAGGGGGGGTTGCCGCATCGGGCAAGCGGGTGGGGCCAGCGATTGTGAGAGATGGACTGTAGGGCATGTGAGCATGAGAGTGCAATCCCAAGGACATGTCCTTTGGATTGCACTCTCATGCTCACATGTCCTTTCAATTGCACTTTCATGCTCACATGCCCTACAGTCCATCTCTCACAATCGCTGGCCCCCCCCTCTTGCCCGATGCGGCAAGCCCCCTCCCTCCCCCCCCCCCCCCTCTCGTGTCAATAAAATGCCTCGTCCACAGAAGTCTGATTCTCTCACCTGAAGACGGTCGCTTGTTGTTGCGATCGAAACATTGTGGTCTATTATTTTTTCTACCTACGTGACTTTACCAAAAGAAGCAAAGAGTATCAACGTTTTATCATTAGTTTCCACTATCCAATATGTTCAAGTAGTGCCACATCTTTCTGTCACCAATCTCTTATGTGTCGTCAAGCCATTCTCTGCTTAGTTTTCCTCTCTTTCCGGGTGCTTCCATTTTTTCCGAAAAAACTCACTTTTAATTTTCCAATTGTCCATCCTACATACAGTGAGGGAAAAAAGTATATAATCCCCTTCTGATTTTGTACGTTTGCCCACTGGCAAAGAAATTATCAGTCTATAATTTTAATGGTAGGTTTATTTGAACAGTGAGAGACAGAATGACAACAACAAAATCCAGAAAAACGCATGTCAAAAATGTTATAAACTGATTTTCATTTTAATGAGGGAAATAAGTATTTAACCCCCTCTCAATCAGAAAGATTTCTGGCTCCCAGGTGTCTTTAATACAGGTAACGAGCTGAGATTAGGAGCACACTCTTAAAAGGAGTGCTCCTAATCTCAGCTTGTTACCTCTATAAAAGACACCTGTCCACAGAAGCAATCAACCAATCATATTCCAAACTCTCCACCATGGCCAAGACCAAAGAGCTCTCCAAGGATATCAGGAACAGGATTGTAGACCTACACAAGGCTGGAATGGGCTACAAGACCATTGCCAAGCAGCTTGGTGAGAAGGTGACAACAGTTGGTGCGATTATTCGCAAATGGAAGAAACACAAAAGAACTGTCAATCTCTCTCGGCCTGGGGCTCCATGCAAGATCTCACCTCGTGGAGTTGCAATGATCATGAGAATGGTGAGGAATCAGCCCAGAACTACACGGGAGGATCTTGTCAATGATCTCAAGGCAGCTGAGACCATAGTCGACAAGAAAATAATTGGTAACACACTACGCCGTGAAGGACTGAAATCCTGCAGCGTCCACAAGGTCCTCCTGCTCAAGAAAGCACATATAAATACCCGTCTGAAGTTTGCCAATGAACATCTGAATGATTCAGAGGACAACTGGGTGAAAGTGTTGTGGTCAGATGAGACCAAAATGGAGCTCTTTGGCATCAACTCAACTCGCCGTGTTTGGAGGAGGAATGCTGCCTATGACCCCAAGAACACCATCCCCACCGTCAAACATGGAGGTGGAAATATTATGTTTTGGGGGTGTTTTTCTGCTGAGGGGACGGGACAACTTCACCGCATCAAAGGGACGATGGATGGGGCCATGTACCATCAAATCTTGGGTGACAACCTCCTTCCCTCAGCCAGGGCATTGAAAATGGGCCATGGATGGGTATTCCAGCATGACAATGACCCAAAACACACAGCCAAGGCAACAATGGAGTGGCTCAAGAAGAAGCACATTAAGGTCCTGGAGTGGCCTAGCCAGTCTCCAGACCTTAATCCCATAGAAAATCTGTGGAGGGAGCTGAAGGTTCGAGTTGCCAAACGTCAGCCTCGAAAACTTAATGACTTGGAAAAGATCTGCAAAGAGGAGTGGGACAAAATCCCTCCTGAGATGTGTGCAAACCTGGTGGCCAACTACAAGAAACGTCTGACCTCTGTGATTGCCAACAAGGGTTTTGCCACCAAGTACTAAGTCATGTTTTGCAGAGGGGTCAAATACTTATTTCCCTCATTAAAATCCAAATCAATTTATAACATTTTTGACATGCGTTTTTCAGGAATTTTTGTTGTTATTCTGTCTCTCACTGTTCAAATAAACCTACCATTAAAATTATAGACTGATCATTTCTTTGTCAGTGGGCAAACGTACAAAATCAGCAGGGGATCAAATACCTTTTTTCCCTCACTGTATGTGTCCAAACAGTGCCAGTTTCCTTCTCATCACTCCCTGCATCATTAGGTATTTTTTCTATGTGCAACGTTTTTTTACTTCTACGTCAGTTTAGATGCAGTATCCTTCTCTTGCAATACATTTCGAGTGCCAATATCTTATCTCTGTCAGCCTTTTTTAATGTCCCAAGTCTCGCAGGCATACAAATCTGTACTGAACACGCATGTTCTTAAGATGTTAATTTTGGTCTTGTAGCTGATTTGCTTGCTTATCCAGATGTTATTGAATCCTGTCATTACTCCTTTTGCCTTTGCGATCCTTGTGAAGTAATTGTCCCATGTCCGTAGACTTGCCAAGTATACAAATTCCTTTACATTCACAATCTTGCTGCTTTCTATTATTACTCCTCCCTTTTGAACACCATTGTCTTTGGCTTTTCCACGTTCATCATCAGACTTTTCCTGACTTATTCAGCGTATGAACACTTTCCTGCAGTACTACGAACCTTTCTTCCATCAGATCTATGTCGTCCACGAATCTCATGTTTTTTATTCTTTCTCCTTACACAGATATTCCTGTGCCATTGTCCTGAATGGCATCCATCACTCTTTTCAAGTATGTGATGAAGTTATGCTCTTTGTTTTTTTCGGTAAAGGCACGTAGGTAAAAAATAAATAAAATAATTGAAAACTAAATTAAATCACGACGTTTCGGGCGCAACACAAGCATCCTTCTTCAGGTGGGGACAACGTAGCGAAAGCACAAACGCTTAAGTGTGTCTCAGAGATGGCTGTGATGAGGGATTATATAGTCGTGGGGCATGGAGAGGGGGGGCATGGTGAGTGTAGGGGCGGGGTGTGGGCTTGGAGGTTAAGTTGGGAAGCCGAGGGAGCGCGGTTGGAGGCAACGACTTGGGCCAAAACGGGGGCTTTGTGATGTAGGCTGGGAGGTGAAGTTGGGAAGCTGGGGGAGCCGCTGGGAGGCAACCACTTGGGCCTAAACTGCCTGCCCCCACACTCACCATGGCCCCTCCCCCCTCCCTCCATGCCCCGCGACTATATAATCCCTCGTCACAGCCATCTCTGAGACACACTTAAGCGTTTGTGCTTTCGCTACGTTGTCCCCACCTGAAGGAGGACGCTTGTGTTGTGCCCGAAACGTCGTGATTTAATTTATTTTTTACCTAGGTGTCTTTACCGAAAAAGCCAAAGAGTATGAATCCTTGCAGTCACGAAAGCTTCAAATCTAGAATGTGATGAAGTTGTTTGGTGATAGTGGATCTCCCTCATTACTTATTGTTGTTGGGAACCATTCTCCTATTTCCAGTCCAAAATTTACTGCTGAGTTTCACCTGAGTATTAAATATTAGCATGTCATTTATGAAGGAAGTTTTAGTAGTATCTCGCCTCTTGAATTTAATTATCTATATCTATACCTTTGCATGATGCGTTCCCATCTGGCATTATCCTTCCCAAGTCTACCACAATTATCTTGATATCTTTCCTAGGAAGTTCCTTTTCGTGCTTTACATCATTTCATATCATTCTTCAACATCCTCTTCTGCGCTATCTGATGTTGGTGTATATATTTAGATGACAGACATGTTTAGGGGTTGCCCATTCAATTTCGTGACAATTACTTTTGGACTAACTGGTCTGTATCCCATGATGCTTTGGCTTTTGTGCTCAACAAGAAACCTTCTCTTGTGTGCACTTTACCTTCCCCTTGACCAGATAACATCACCCCCATTTATCTCCCCTGTTCCTGTCCATCTAATTTCTGCTAGTCTTAGGATGTCATACCTGATATCTTTTTATTTCCTTTGTTAGCAGCTCTGACAGTCCTGTTGCTGATAGTGTTCTCACATTTCGTGTCCCTACTGTAATCTCCTCATTCGCCATTCTCAGCCTCTTCGTTGTTTCGGAATTTGGCTGTTTTATTTTCTAATGGGTCATCTTCTTGGTTCTTTCGGTAAAGTCACATAGAATGAGAATAAAACAATAAAACAAAATAAGACAATAAAAATTCTCACGACGTTTCGGTCACAACACAAGTAGCCTTCTTCGGGTGAAGAGACAGGTCTGTACAGAAGACAGAGCTCGAATGGACGCCGTCATATATGCACCGCGTTTATTAAGCTGTGTGGGCGGAGTTAAAACATGAGTCTGTACGTTACCAGCATCACCTCCGGAGCGGAGGGGGGGGGGGGCTGGGAACACAGGCAGAGAGGAATGCAAAGAGCGCGCCTATCAAGCTGTGTGGGCGGAGTCAGAGCCCGAATGTCATCAGCATCAAATGCAACCACACCAAAGAGGGAGGGGAGGGAAGGGGGGGGGGGCTGGGAACATAGGCAGAGAGGAATAAAGAAAAGTGAGCAGGTAAAGCAAGGTGCGCTGTTGTGCCCTGAGCAGCTTCATGACTATGCTATAAACTGGACTACTATACAATAAATATGATATCTTCCAATCTAAACTACATGGTATAACATCATATCATAGACAAATTCCACCTTTGAATTATACAATGCGTTATTTTACAATACCCTATACTTTAGATTATAAACCATTTGACTTGTGATATTACACTGTCTTATTATATGAACCCAGCTATATACCACACTTCTGTATATTCACAATGCAATTACGATGCTATATATTGCCTTATGAATTATGTTAAATATTACAATGTTATACTATCAATTAAACTACATGTTATAAACCATACAATTGACTGTGGTGTGAGAAGTATTAAGAGGCAGTGTCAGCGAAAGGGCTGTGGTCTGAAAGTCACCGTAAAATGCAATCAATTAAGAACCGAAATGGTTTAAAACATCTTTCCAATGGTTACTAAGCCAGAATCCATCTTCTCGGCTGGGCTTACATGACATTGACTTCTCCAAGATGGAGGTTCTTTGCAAACCAACCGGCTACCATGGGAGATTCGTTCATGAGGCCATCCACATATACAAGCACAGAGACAATTTCAACCGAGAAGATGGATTCTGGCTTAGTAACCATTGGAAAGATGTTTTAAACCATTTCGGTTCTTAATTGATTGTATTTTACAGTGACTTTCAGACACTGCCTCTTAATACTTCTCACACCACGGTCAATGGTATGGTTTATAACATGTAGTTTAATAATTAATAGTATAACATTGTAATATTTAACATAACTCATAAGGCAATATATAGCATCGTAATTGCATAGTGAATATACAGCAGTGTGGTATATAGTTGGGTTCATATAATAAGACAGTGTAATATCACAAGTCAAATAGTTTATAATCTAAAGTATAGGGTATTGTAAAGTAACGCATTGTATAAATCAAAGGTGGAATTTGTCTATGATATGATGTTATACCATGTAGTTTAGATTGGAAGATATCATATTTATTGTATAGTAGTCCAGTTTATAGCATAGTCATGAAGCTGCTCAGGACACAACAGCACACCTTGCTTTACCTGCTCACTTTTCTTTATTCCTCTCTGCCTATGTTCCCACCCCCCCTCCCCTCCCCTCCCATCCCCTCCCTCTTGGGTGTAGTTGCATTTGATGCTGATGACATTCGGGCTCTGACTCCGCCCACACAGCTTGATAGGCGCGTTCTTTGCATTCCTCTCTGCCTGTGTTCCCAGCCCCGCCCCCCCCCCCTCCCCCGCTCCGGAGGTGATGCTGGTAACGTACAGACTCATATTTTAACTCCGCCCACACAGCTTAATAAACGCGGTCCATACATTACGGCGTCCATTCGAGTTCTGTCTTCCGTACAGACCTGTCTCTTCACCTGAAGAAGGCTACTTGTGTTATGGCCGAAACGTCGTGAGAATTTTTATTGTCTTATATTGTTTTATTCTCATTCTACGTGACTTTACCGAAAGAACCAAGAAGATGAATCTTTGCAGTCACGAAAGCTTTAAATCGAAATTTTCTAATGGTGTCGTAGCTGCTGCTGCTGCTGCTGCTGCCATTGCTGCTTTCCGGTAGTAAATTTTTCTACCTGATCCTGGTTACTCAATCGGACCTTGTTGATCCCGGCGACATCAGAGCCGGCATCCTTCTTCTTCTGCGGTCGTCATGTGTATTAGATTCCTTTTGTATTTTTTACGGTCCGCGGTGTCAGCAACCCTTTTGCCTGACCCTCCTCTGTTTTATCCGGGCTTGGGATTGGCTCAAATATCTACTGGAATTCTGGACCCCCCTGGCAAGCTACCTTTTTTGGTTGTCCTAATAAAAAAGAGACATGATGGTTCAATGAGCCACTGTCTACAGGAAAGCTACCCATACGGATGCTTATCTGAAACCGGATTCCCACCACCATCCATCACAGAAGAATTATCTCATCAAGACTCTGTACCATAGAGCCCAATGCATATCCGATCAGGAACACATAGGCAGTGAACTCAAGCACGTACACCAAGCTCTTAAGGCTAATGGTTACTCCGACTATACAATCCGCAAAGCTATCACTCAAACCATGAAGAAGGACCCTCTTGAGGAGCCTTTCAAAACCATCACTTTACCCTACATTGTGGGGATCACAAAAAGATCTCCAAAATTTTGAATAAACACAAGATCCAGGTCCGTTTCAACACATTACATAAAATCCGTGATCTGGTTCCGTCTGTAAAAGATGTGATTCCGGACATACAATACCCTGGTGTCTACAAACTAAGTTGCCTCTGTGGTAGTAGTTACATTGGAGAAACCAAACGCCATGTCTCGGACCGCATTCGTTAACACAAAGCAGACCTTAAACACGGTAGGACCAACACCTCGGCAGTGGCAGATCATTGTTATAATTCAGTAGGCTCATATGACATTGACTTTTCCAAGACAGAGGTTCTTTGTAAGCCATCTGGCTACCATGAGAGATTCGTTCATGAGGCTATCCACATATACAAGCACAGAGACAATTTCAACCGAGAAGATGGATTCTGGCTTAGCAATCATTGGAAAGATTTTATAAATCATATCAGGTCTTAATTGATTGTTCACGCTTACAGTGGCTTTCAGACAGCATACTTTAATTTTTTGTCTCCCCCCTCCTCTTTTCAGAACATATATGGACTCGTCCTTCTAAATAAACTGCCAAATCGCTGTGTGTGGCGCTGACGGGTTTTTTTTAATAAATACACCGTTTAAAAATAAATAAATAACCCGTTCAAAAATAACTAAATATATGCAAACCGACACTTCTTTAAAATGTTTCTTGCCGTTGGTTTTTCACACCTGATGATGACCGTTTGTGTTATGGTCGAAACGTCGTGAGAATTTTTATTGTTTTATATATATTTTATTGTTTCCCTTCAACGTGACTTTACCCAAAGAGCTAAGAATATGAATTACTGCAGTCACGAAAGCTTTAAATCAAAATTTTACAAACCTTATTAATGATATTGGTCACGTGGTCGCGAAAGCCTACGTGTTAAAGAGATATTTTGCTGCTGTTGTTTTTTAGATGGGCCCAGGTTCCTACATTGCTGGAAAAGCCTTCACCATCGTTGATGTTGTTTTCTTTCCTACCCTTGCTTACTGCTTCAGATTTGGGTAAGTTTTAAGGTACATGGGAACTTTTCCACAGTTGCCTGCAGAGCAGCACATGCTTGAGTCACAATGTGTTCTGTTGAAAAGAAACTGGGAAATGCAGAGATCCTTTGCTATAAAATGCTGAGCTGGTAGTGTATCCCAAGTGTATACTTTGTGTGTGTGTATATGGCCGTTTTCCAGTTCTTTTTAACGCACTACTAAGTTAGAACAGTTGATAGGCTGTCTAACAGCTTCCCGGGATGGTGAAGATGGAGACGACGACGAGGAGATGGTGACGACGACAAGAAGGTGACGACGATAGATTTGAGCAGCACGACGGGAATCCCACTTCCAGCAACAGCCCCGAGCTCTCGCTCAGGGCCCCCTCTTATACTCCCAGCGTGACCTTGCCCCGCCTTGGCCACGCCCCCTTTCTGGAACCTACTCGCGGGTTCCCGAGGCTCCCTGATAGGCCCCTTCTGTGACCTTTCCCTGAGATGTCCCTCTCTTATATACTGACGCAAGTACTGCCGTACACCGCAGTTCCCCTTTTCTGCCAGCAGCCAGCGCTATACCACTACACATGTAAAACAACACTAATAAACGCACGTAATAGTTAATGCAACAATGTTTTTCACGAGTGTTCATTTCAACTTCAGTGACAATGCACTGTGCACTATTAATATAGCAGTTTGCAGTTTTTCTCTAAATTCCAATTGAAGTCTCAAGCCTTCTTTTAAGGAGGGTCCTAAATTTTAACATTAGGGAGATTACCGCTCGCTGTGTTTAATAATCAAGCAAAGTGCAAGTAGTTTTTTAGGTTTTGTCAAATTTGGACCATGACTCCTGCAGTATCGCGGATAATGTACAGCTGATATTTCCGTTAATGTTTTATTTTCTGTTCCTATCTGCGTGTTTGCTGTATCCACTCCAAGTTACATTAGGGGGGATCTTTAACATTCCACTGTGATGCAGAATGGGCACATTTTATGGTAAATACACCGGGTATTTTCCATACACCTGTAGTTATTTACCAGGGCGTTCTACTGAGTTCAAACCATACACCTCTAACAGGTGGCGAACGTGCTACCACTGGGCCATGCCACGGCTCCAATGAAAAATATATAAAAAAATATGCCCTCTATCCAGTTACCTTCTCACTTAAATGTTTTACAATTTATTTTACCAAGTAAGGCCCACTTAGCTCTAGTTATTTTTCAGAAGCGACCTGGCTACCAATGATAGCCCAACAAAGTTGCTTATCACGTGGCAATGTGTAGCACCGAAATACTCTTAAATGCGTGATGTTGATTTAAAAGATGGAGGGAAAAACCGGAGGACCCGGAGAACAATCCACGTAACCACAGGGAGAAATATGCAAACTCCAAATATACAGGCGTCAGGGTCGGGATCGGACCAAGGACTTCCTTTATACCATGCGAGGGAGATAAACATCTCGCCACTGCAGTGCCCAAATAATTTGGAAGCCGTACAGTACTGTAGTTGATAAACATATGTTTACACATTCTTTTGCTTGTATGGACTTTGGATAATTTTTTATTCGATTTAGCCATGCTTACAAGTTTAATTTGTTTGATAATGTTTATTTTCTATCGTTTGTGCATTGTGTGTGTTTGCGTGCAGACTGTCTACAGAGAGGTACCCGAATCTGGGTGCCTACTACAAGCTGCTGGAGCAGCGTCCGAGTGTGCAGGCGTCCTGGCCTCCACACTGGAAGGAGAATCCACAGACACAGGATCTTCTCAAGGAGATATAAACATCCTTAACGTTGATTTAGCCAATACTCCTCAAGTGGGGTTTTGCCTTCTATGATCTAATATGATATAAAATGATTTTGTAGTCTTAAAAACCATTGTGTTTCATTGCATAGCTCTGTGGTTGTTTAACAAAAGCTAAGATCACAATGTATGGCATGTATTGTATTGCCTTAATGCATTTGAAATAAAACACTTTCACTCTCAAAATGTTTGAGCCCCCAGCACCCCCCTAGTTGAACTGTATTGCCAAATATTTTGTTATACACAACACCACCACACATCTGCAATTTTCCAAACCCGAGTGACAGAGAAGATCATGCTGGAAAAGATCACGTGAGAAATAGGAAATGTCAAATTATTCCTCAAGGAATATCTCTCCAAAAAGAGAAAAAACTTAGAAGCAGATGAGGCGAGATTGACTGCACATCTATAATCAGAATAGCATTGTGTCACATGGTCATCGTCACGTGATTGACCACCCCACCAGCCTCAACTTGGGAACATCCAAATGACCAATCTTGGGGCAGTCCTTGATTACAAGGAACCCCTGAAACCATCCTGAGAGAGATCCAGAGAAACGACACATTCATGAGATGAAAAGAAAGTTTAAAATCAATTTTTAGGGTAAGGCGACAGTTGTTTCATGCCAAGATTCTTGCCAACAACCCTGAACCAGCTGACAAACGTCTGGCATTTACCAAGATATTTCTAAATGCAAATGCATTGATCACATATTTGGCCAATTAAGTGCACCGGTGGATTAAGAATTTCCATAAGTGAGTGATATGAACACGGGGGACGTGTCCCTCGTAGTGCTCTGGAGCTTCATTGGTTCGCTGCTCGAAGCGGTTTAAACAACCCCGGGTTGAAGTATGGCGCTGTTGGAACAGTTCGTGTTTAGTCTCGCCTTGTGAAGGGCGACGCGAGTGTTACCGGTGTGAATTCATCTGGCATGTGTCGTCTTCCACAACGCAGTTGTGATAAAAATTGGACCCAAAGCTATACACGCGCATTAAAGCCATGTCCATACATCAGCTGTACAATCCACGTTTTAGGGGCTCTCTTCACAGCTGGCTCAGCAAGAGATCAATAAGCCACGTGTTAGAGCCTGGCTGTATGAAGGAAATTTTAAATAATATTAATAAACTTAAATTATAATTATTGGGTTAAAATAAATGCGAATCGATGTTTGATTCATCGGATAAATGGAAATCCATATATTCTTACATTTGATTAAGTTTATTTTAATAATTTGTAAAATAGCAGTGGCAATTTTGGGTGGGGATTTAGGAGATTAAAACACGGGGTTGGCGGGAGGTGTTTAATGGCGTGTGGGCTGATGTGGCGTCTCTGTGGTGAGATGTTATCTCCCTCGTCTGGTATATAGGAGGCATGCGTTCGATCGTGACCCTGCCACTTGTGTATTTGGAATGTGTGTGCTCTCCCTGTTGGTTTTATTGATTTTTATTCAAGTGCTCCGGTTTTGCCTTCCACATTTACCAACATCAATTTCTGTAAATTCCGACGTGGTAATCCACTTTGATGAGTTGTCATGCGTGGCCAAGTCGCCTCTGAAAAAAAGAAAGAGTAGAGGTAAATAAAATAGGATTACAGGCAGTCCTTGACTTACAAACACCCGACTTACAAATACTTACGAACCAGCTTCCATGAAATATATATTTTTTACATTGACTTAAAACGCAAATCTGAACCGTGGAACTTGTGTTCAGTGGAGTGATCCTCCGCGAGATGTAATGAGTCAGCCGATCGTGAGTGTGTGTGTGCGCACGTGTGTATGTCAAAGTGAGTGTGTCAAGGTGTGTGCATGAGAGTGTGTATGTGCCGGGTCCAAGCAAGAACATTTTTTGGACGGACTACATAGTGACGGAACAGCGGATGTGGGCCTATGTCCTTGACACCAGGACCTACAGTGGAGCTGATCTCCCCACTGACCATCGACTTGTCACTTATATTCTTAGTTCTTTCGGTAAAGTCACGTTGAAGGGAAACAATAAAATAATAAAATATATATAAAACAAGAAAAAATTCTCACGACGTTTCGACCATAACACAAACGGTCGTCATCAGGTGTGTCGGTTTGCATAAATTTATTTTTTTTTAAACGGTGTATTTATTTAAAAAAAAACCCGTCAGCGCCACACACAGCGATTTGGCAGTTTATTTAGAAGGACGAGTCCATCTATGTTCTGAAAAGAGGAGGGGGGAGACAAAAAATTAAAGTATGCTGTCTGAAAGCCACTGTAAGCGTGAACAATCAATTAAGACCTGATATGATTTATAAAATCTTTCCAATGATTGCTAAGCCAGAATCCATCTTCTCGGTTGAAATTGTCTCTGTGCTTGTATATGTGGATAGCCTCATGAACGAATCTCTCATGGTAGCCAGATGGCTTACAAAGAACCTCTGTCTTGGAAAAGTCAATGTCATATGAGCCTACTGAATTATAACAATGATCTGCCACTGCCGAGGTGTTGGTCCTACCGTGTTTAAGGTCTGCTTTGTGTTAACGAATGCGGTCCGAGACATGGCGTTTGGTTTCTCCAATGTAACTACTACCACAGAGGCAACTTAGTTTGTAGACACCAGGGTATTGTATGTCCGGAATCACATCTTTTACAGACGGAACCAGATCACGGATTTTATGTAATGTGTTGAAACGGACCTGGATCTTGTGTTTATTCAAGAATTTGGAGATCTTTTTTGTGATCCCCGCAATGTAAGGTAAAGTGATGGTTTTGAAAGGCTCCTCAAGAGGGTCCTTCTTCATGGATTGAGTGATAGCTTTGCGGATTGTATAGTCGGAGTAACCATTAGCCTTAAGAGCTTGGTGTACGTGCTTGAGTTCACTGGCTATGTGTTCCTGATCGGATATGCATTGGGCTCTATGGTACAGAGTCTTGATGAGATAATTCTTCTGTGATGGATGGTGGTGGGAATCCGGTTTCAGATAAGCATCCGTATGGGTAGCTTTCCTGTAGACAGTGGCTCATTGAACCATCAGGTCTCTTTTTTATTAGGACATCCAAAAAAGGTAGCTTGCCATCTTTTTCGACTTCCATGCTAAATCTGATGGCTGGGTGTATGGAATTGATGTGGTCGAAGAATTGGTCTAGAGCAGGCCGGCCATGTGGCCAGATGACAAAAGTGTCATCCACGTACCTCTTCCATAAGGTTGGGCGCAGAGTGGCAGTCTGGATGGCGTCAGTCTAAAATTTCTCCATTGGGGTGCCCTCAGTTTGTTTGTAGAAAGTTCCATTCCAAGTGAAGTATGTATTGGTTAAACAGTGTCTCACCAGGGGGGGGTACCTCAGTGTTTAGTCCTTGATGAACCAAGTCTTCAATGATTGCGATGGTGTCAGGTACAGGAACCTTGGTGAATAAGGAAACTACATCAAAACTGACAAGCAGGTCGTCTGGGGACAGGGAAATACCCTTGATTGTCGATACCAGGTGAGTAGAATTTTGTACCGCAGAGGTGGTTTTTCCAGTGAAAGGACGCAGGATTTCAGACAAAAAACGAGCCAGTTTGTAGGTGGGGGGAGTTGATAGTAGAGACGATGGGATGAAGGGGTGTATCTACTTTATGTATTTTGGTAAGCCATATAATCTTGGTGGCCTGGCAGCAGAAGGTTTCAACGAAAACTGTTTAGATTGATCAATTAATGCGGTTGAATCAGAAATTATTTTGTTGGTTTGTGTGACGAGGCTGTTGGTGGGATCTCTTTTTATTTTTGTATAACTACCATCGTCGAGTAATGCTTTAATTTTGTTGTTGTATTCTATTTTATCCATGATGACAGTAGCATTGCCCTTATCAGCTGAGAGGACTACAATATCATCCCTCTTTTTTAATTTATATAATTCAAAACGCTCATCTTTGCTGAGGTTGCTAGCTGGCATCTTAGCGTTTTTGAGGGTTGCAGCGATTTCAGATCTTGCTACGTCTGCAGCGATGTGACCCAGGCCCCTGAGAGCAACGTCTACATGGTAGGACCAACACCTCGGCAGTGGCAGATCATTGTTATAATTCAGTAGGCTCACATGATATTGACTTTTCCAAGACAGAGGTTCTTTGTAAGCCATCTGGCTACCATGAGAGATTCGTTCATGAGGCTATCCACATATACAAGCACAGAGACAATTTCAACCGAGAAGATGGATTCTGGCTTAGCAATCATTGGAAAGATTTGATAAATCATTTCAGGTCTTAATTGATTGTTCACGCTTACAGTGGCTTTCAGACAGCATACATTAAAATTTTTCGTCTCCCCCCTCTTTTCAGAACATAGATGGACTCGTCCTTCTAAATAAACTGCCAAATCGCTGCGCGTGGCGCTAACGTGTTTTTTTAAATAAATAAATACACCGTTTAAAAATAAATACATTTATGCAAACCGACACACCTGATGACGACCGTTTGTGTTATGGTCGAAACGTCGTGAGAATTTTTTCTTGTTTTATATATATTTTATTATTTTATTGTTTCCCTTCAACGTGACTTTACCGAAAGAACTAAGAATATGAATTACTGTAGTCACGAAAGCTTTAAATCAAGACTTGTCACTTGTAAGGTGCGCCTGCCATTCTTCCACTCCGGTGGTGGGTGTACAGTACACCCAGGATCCAATTCAAACCCATCGTGGCATGGTCTCAGCTAGCTGATGAAAGTTGCAAGCGAGAATGTCATCATCGCTTGCGGCTGGGGTTGGCATCGTCCCCCACTCCTGATGTCGAGGGGAAATGGACTGTGGCTCATGCAGCTGCAATGGCTGCTTTGGGTACACGGTCCAGACGTCAGAGACCCTGGCTGACAGAGGAGGTGTTCAGGCTGGCTGCGAAAAAGCGACAGGCCCACTCTCACCGTCTACTGCATCCCACGTCAGAGAATGAGGAGGCTTACCACAGCCTTCGCTCGGAGGTTCGCAGAGCCGTGAGGCACTGCAATGATGGTTTGTGGTCACGGGTTTCTGAGGAGATGGAGTCTACCTCAATGGCCCGCGATCACAAATCGCTCTTTAATTCCATAAAAAAGTAACCTGCAGTGCCACACCGATTACCATCATTTGGGGAAAGAACGGTGATCCAATCTCCAGCCCCCAGGAACAGGTTTGCAGATTTGCTGAGCATTTGCGTGAGGTCCTGGGGGAGGGGAAATCCCTCAGCGCGGAAAACATCGTGGGACAAA